GTGCTGAAGCCAGCGTCCGCAGAACTTCCTCGCACTCTGTGCATCCGGGTACTACGACAACACCCTCTGGCACCGGAACATCAAGGGTTTCATGATCCAGACCGGCGACCCCTCGGGCTCAGGCAAGGGCGGCCAGAGCATATGGGGCAAGCCCTTCGCCGACGAGATGCGGTCTACCCTCAAGGTCTGCTCCTCTCGCCCATCCATCCGATCTCTTCCGTGGCTGATACGTCGCTCCCCTGATAGTTCAACAATCGCGGGATCCTGGCGATGGCCAACTCGGGCCCGGACACCAACAAGTCCCAGTTCTTCATCACCTATGCGAAGCAGCCACATCTCGATGGCAAGTACACCATCTTCGGCAAGGTGGGCAGCTGAGCGCACATCGCGTCCTTCTGCACGCTGACTGCACTTCCAGGTCATAGATGGCGCCGACTCGACCCTCGACGCCATGGAGCGAGTGCCCGTCAATCCAAAGAACAGGCCGCTCAGCGAGATACGCACTACGCACGTACGTCCGCCCTTACCCACACGGGACCGTCGAACCACCATGTCTCATCCGACGTTGATGTGCTGACCGCCATTCCTCTCGCAGGTCACAATCCACGCAAATCCCATCGCAGACGCGGAACTCGTTGGGCGATGACATCCGCATATCACGTCTCTTGTACAGTACAACCCTTCTGTCCCACGGCTTCGAGGTTTCTCGGACGGCGGGCGGACGACGGTCTCACTCGCGCCGGACTCTACGGACTCTGTTTCTCACGGCTGCTATTGTCTGTATACTTAGTGCCGCCCGGAGATCTGCCAATTACGTCTCTATCTCCACCTCTCTCCGGCTCCTGGCCAGGCTTCTCGGACGTCCGGCGTACCTTTGACGTGCCTCACCGCCTGCAACACCGCGTCTCGCTCCGGCTCTCTCATGGCACAGGCACCCGGCAAGCCAAGAAGCCTCTCCTGCGTGACGGCCTGGAAATCAAGGGTACCTTCGCCGTATCGCTGCGCCCGCGTGCGCGCTACAGCCTCGACGCGGCGCGAATCTCCAGGCTTCAATCGCTAACCGCCACCTCACCGGTGCGTCTCCGTCAGTGATCTGCAGGTGGCGGCGCGATGGTGAGAACGCCTGCCGTTGGGCGTACTTATGCCAGTACTGGCGGCGGTGAATAACCGGTGCTGGCCACGGGACACTCCACGGCGCTGCTCATCTTTCCCTGCCAGTGCACCTCTCAAAGTCGATCGGAAGCATTCCACAGTGTACATCGTCCGTCAGCGTCAGCAGTTGACAACGCCATCATGGTCGCGGTAGGAGATATACCGTTGGATACGGAGCTTCGTCGCATTAGGGCTCTGCGACTTGCGTTCTGCGGGTCACCAGACCACAGTCCGTGCTGTCAGATCCGCAGGCCGTCTGTCGGTAATTATAACGCCTGGTTGAGTGGCAGAACTCTACTGTGTCGCGCTGCCATGGCCAATGGATGCACCCCGAATCATCGCTCAAAGACGCATCCGGATCCGAGGCCAATGACCGGTCTTCAAGCTTCATCACGACCGCCTCAGCCCTCGGGCGCCGCCTGCTGTGAGTGAGTCAAAAGCTTCGCGCCCGGCGGCTGCTCCATGTATAATGATATGATGCTTGGAAGTTGGAACTCGAGTCCCCGCGGCCGGGTCACACTGCCCCGGTCAATGCGGAGTTTACCTGCATAGCGACATCATACACGGGCCGCGCGCCGCTCTACGTTCTTTTGGCGTCCCATTACAGCTGTGTGCGTCTGCTCTGCCAGACTGCAAGTGCCCGCTGTCCAGTGTCCAAATACGTGGACGTCAGGTGCATCATGAAGTTGCTCCGCGGCGACACAGCGTGGGGCGCACAACTTGGCCGAAGGACTAGTATGTATACCATGCGTTCCATGCGTACTTCTTCGTCCACTGCGGCGTATCAGCGCAGTGCCGTGGCGGTCCCCAACTGGGGCTCTAGACGACGACGACGACGTCCGTGCGCTCACCTCACCGGTGTGTATAGACCACAGCACCACAGCACCGCCGGCAACGTTTGTACATACTGCGTGCGGACGTGGCGTCGCGCTTGCAACCGCCACAGCACGCGTACCGCCTCGTACCGCGTGAGGTTCGCGGGTATCGCTTTCCCCCCTGATCGAGGGGAGATCGGCGATGCGCCTTCGTGCCTTCATAAGTTACATAGAGTAAGAACCGAAGCATTATGCATCATGCATCATGCATCATTACTTGACGACGGACGACGGCTTAAGTAGGACGTACGTTGAGTGCACTATTACAATCACTGACTCGACGTAAACCTCCATGCATCGCATCATACTCGCAGCGTCGACGGTGGAACCGAACTCTCGAGAGCTCAGCGAGGGTACCTACAGATGCAGGATGTATGAATCAATGATGAGTAAGTGCGCGGCAGCCAAGGGCGACGATTGAGGAAAACGAACATTCAACCAGCCGGAACTCAAAGTGTCTGCGATATCACAGTCAGGCTGTATCGCCCGATACTTGCAAGCGTTGCACGCCGTCGGACTACTTACAGTACTCATCAGCCGTACGCGTCTTACACGGATACAGAAATTGAGTCGTGATCCGACTGAGGCACCGGCGGCGAAGTGAGCAGCCTCTCCGATCGAGGAAGATCGACATCCAGGGCCAGACATGTCACATATGGGAGGCCGGATGCACCTTCATATGGGCCGGACCATACCATAGCGACGCCTGTACATGTCGTGATCTTGTGGCATCGCGACGAAAAAAGCCAGCAGGAGCGGACAATCGAGAATTGAGAATTGAGCAGTAACAGTACACTGGCATTGGCAAGAGCGAGACAGATGATGAGGCAGCATTGGGCACAGAAGTGAACCGTGAGATGCAGGTGTTTGGGAGAGAGATTGATCTGAATAGGATGAGTACTAACAGCAATGGGACCACCGGGAGAAGCACAGATAGAAATAGGAACAGGAATAGGAATAGGAATAATAGTAAAGCAGAAACACAGTGACAAAAGTCGAAGGCGAAGTCGTGAGTATGTAAGGAGCGAACGTATTGGTGCTGGGGAGTGAGCACATAGTACAACATGTGAGCGGCCAGAGATTACTTTTCCATTCGTACTGCGCGCCGTACGCGCGACCCGGGCATGTCATGCCATATAACACTGGCGGACAGACCTGCGATGACCCATGCATAGGCTTGGACTCGAAGGTGGGAGTAGAGGTCGCACTTCCGACTCTCCGTTGCGAAGGGTTGTTGGATCAGTTGTCGGTCCACTCCGAAGTCTTCCAATATGATCTGTTCGAGAGTCGATGACCATCAGAGCGACGGAGGAATGGAACCGCTGGACACTCACCCTGGGAGCTCGACCGTCCGTGGAGAGTCCGCGGAGGGGAAGGACGACTCGACGCCCGAGCCGATGTTGATGGGCAGCTCTACGCGGAGGACGTTGCCCAGCCCGGGGAACTCCATTCTTAGGATCAGTGTGTACTTATCGCGTGAGCAAGTGTCAGTATCGCGACGAGCCTCGAACTGTGTTGCCTGACACACCTTGATCTTCAGCTCCTCCGTGAGGAACGTCGGGGTGAACCGGAAGTTCATGACGGAGTGGAACGAGACCTCCTGCGACCAGCGCCCCCGGTCCGTCTTCTGCCCGTCCGGGAGCCAGTGGTAGTTTCCGACCTCGACCTCGACGGGCGGTGTCGGGGCGTGCGCCTTCGAGATGATGTCGATGACGTGCTCTTCCGGATTTGAAGGCTGGTATGGGGTCTTCATGTCTACGAACCGCCGGAGCTCAAAGTCGAGCTCGGAGGGATTGCGAGGTGCGGAGGGGTAGAGGCTCTTCTCTGGAGCCGCGTCCCCTTTCCGCTTCATGGGCGCGGTAGTCGTGGTGACCACGATGGTGTAGGGAATGTCCGAGAAGAGAGGGAAGGTGTCGACATGCGGAACGAGCAGCTAGAAGCGGCGACCGTTCAGCATTCAAGGACTTCTCTCGGAAAATGGAGCGAGCTCACCTCGAGCTTCGCATGCGCATATTCGCCCCACGGATACTTGCGCATATTGCACTCCGACTTCAACCTCCCCCAAGTACCCGACCAGCCCAGCTTCAGCTCCGCGCGGATGGCACTGCCTATCGGGTCGGGCTGAACGACGACAATGGGGCTCTTGAAGGTGCGGTCCACCGCAAAAGTGGTGTTCCGCACGCCGGTGACCTCCACCGCATACCGAACGTACGCGTTGTTCATGTAGGACTCAAACTGGAACGACGGGGGCGCGTCCTCCGGCAGCTTCAGCTCAAACGGCAGGATGATGGGGCCGCCGTCCGCCGGCGGTTCACTGCGGTCTCTCCTCCACAGCGTCAAGGTTTTCCGCAGGAAGTCGTTCGACTCGACCTGGAACTGCTCGACGTCGGGTCCCATCCGGTTCTTGCTGCAACGCAATCAGGCAAGGACCACAGATGAGAGAAGGATGCTACTCACGTCTTGATTGTCCCCTGCAGCTCAACATATACCCTCTCAATGTCATCCTCGAGAGCCAACTCGTGGTTCAGCTCGACCTCTCCCATGACGGACCCTCCGGCGACATAGATGGTGGCGGGGACTGTCAGGTGGAGCGCGGGTTTCCGCATAGCGAGCGAGTACGCAGACTGGGTCGTGATTGACGAGGACATCTTCGATTAACCAGTCGCAGCCGGAGCGAGGGACTCGGAGGGACGGCGCAGGTCGCGCGAGGATGAGAGGCGGGCGAGGAAGGACGCACGCGCGAAGAGGCATGTCGGTCGGTGGAGTACATAACGAGTTGCGCTTTCCCCGAGATGGTGGCGGTCGGGAGGGCACGCGAGGCCGACAAGCCATCGGTGGACCGACGGTTTAGCACGGCACTAGCAGAGTCTGGCAGTCCATTGCCCGCAGTATGGAATGGCTAAATCCTTCTCCGCTCCTGTGCCTTTTAGGGTTTTTGCGGTACATAACCTTTGCCAAGCACATTTAAGTATCGTCCTTGTAGATTAGTGGTTAGATCATCACGTTGTGGATCATGCACTCCTTAGGACCGTGAAAACGGAGGCTCGAATCCTCCCTGGGACATCTCCTTTTGCTTTTTTCTTTTCATCCGCTTGCCTGCCCTCGGTCTGCATCGTCCAAGCATCGTTATACTATCGCTACCCCAGAAGCTGATAAAAGCGCCCGTCAACCCTAGAAGCTGATAATGTGCTTCTCGGGCCACTTTATGCGTACCCATCGACCTGAAAAAATCACAACATTGTTTGTCGGCTTCTGTCGGGTGTGCCCGCAGAAAGAGCGAGGTGAAACGGTCCAAATTTACGGAGGTAATTGAGTAACAATAGACCGAGTTCAGGGATCTTTGCGTTGTTCCTTCTGTAGCATACTGAATCTTGTTCCGATTTGCTTCAAACTACTTAGGAAGCTCATGTAGCCCCATTTGACCTCTTGACTTATTTTTCCGAGGCTCCGGGATGGTGAGGAAGTGCTGCAGCTCAGAAGTGTGACATTGAGGGTTGAATTGTGGCTGAGATTCGTATTCCGCTTACTCTCCGCGCGTTTGAGCGCTGGCTCCGAGCATAGGTTTGATGGCGGGGCTTTACTCGGCACCCACGGCATGTGTGACCCGCGCGTGACAGCACCTCGGAGAAACTAACAGCTTCTGGGGTCAAGCATTCTTACTCGTTTGCTGCTCTCACCTCTCGTCCGAATTTTCTGCAAAACTGCAGGCTGGTACATCTCAACTGTGAGTATTGACTTGCAAAATCCTGAAAGGATTAGAAGGGAAGGGGAGGAAAGCGCGCGCAAACAGCCCGAGACTAACAGCTTCTGGGGTAGCGATAGTATTCGCAGCATGTAGCATCAATCACCAAGATGTTCATCTCGTGGACGAATCTCAAGCGATTTCCAGCAGAAGAAGGAACACGCGTTGGGTGCCGCATGCCACGCGGTGCAACTCAAATCTTCCCGAACTCGATGAGCGACCATATGGCGACCCGGTTATCCTGGCCGCCGGATACCAGCCACCGCGCCCTCTCCTCCTTCTCGTCCTCGCTCATCTCGTCCTCTTCCTCGTCACCACCGCCGGCGGCCTCGCGAGGCAGCGATTGAAGCTGCGACCGTGCAAACGCGACCGACTGGCAGTTCTTCTTGTGATAGCTGAGCGTCCCGAGCGGCTTGAACGACTTGGTCGAGTACAGGCGGACCCTATGTTGGCCAGTCCAGGTCAGCGTTTCGCGCAACGGAACGCACCCATATATGAGGCTGAGGCTGCTGGGGATCCTGCGCACCTTCCGTCCCATCCTCCGACGGCGCACACCCGCCCGTCGTCCCTCATAGCTACGCACGCATTTCCTGGGTGCTTTGTCCTGTACACCGTGCACGCCGCCTCTCGCGTCTCTGGCCGCTCAGCATCCTGTGCAGTCATGTCTGAGCATACAAGTCTTGGGGTGATGATAGAGACAGACTGACAGCAAGATTGTAGCGGCCTATCAAGTGGTCGGCAGACACGGTCAGAGCGAACGAGCTATCCTTGGACACGGCCATTGCCATCACTGCATATGGCATCGGCGTCGTTCAGCTTCAGAAAGCCGGGATGGGGCGTGAAGTTGCTCACCGGATTCGACGTGGTGCTTGACGGTCCACAGAACATCCCAGCCCATTCCCTCGATGGACACTTCTTTGTCTTCCCGGGTGTACTCGCGCATCGTCACGCTGCCGTTCTCGTATGCGCATAGCAGCCGCAGACGCGAGCGACCTGCTGCGTGTGGGTGGGGCGCACTCATGAGGTGCATCGACATGATGATTCCTACGGAACGCTTTAGAGCCCTCTCTACGGATGTTCAAGTGTGTCAGACCACACCTATGGCATTGCGGACGTCCCTCCCGTCAGACGCGGAAGACGTTTGTCCCTCCTTCCCGATGGCGGCATGCAGCCTTTGCTTCCCTGGCAGAGTCCAGATGTCGGCCTGTGGTACCTTTGTCAGCTCGCACGTAGACATGGGCGCTGGACATACGTACATACGACGACTCGACCAGGTTCGGGACGGCGATGAGGGCATGTCGATCAGCCGTACGTGCTTCCGGAGGGAGAGGCAGCAAGGCGAACCGACAGAAATTCAGCGCGTTCACGTCGAGTGAGTAGCACAGTTGCGGAGTCTGCAGGCCAGGGAGCGCTGCTGAGCCTCCGAGACTTCTCGAGGGCTCGGAAATCCTTCTCCAGACGTGGAGCTTGTTATCGCGCCCATGCCTGCCAGCGGGTAATACATCAGCACCGACATAGCTTCTATCCGGAGAACCCACGAACGGACGTGATGATCTGCTCCTCGAACTCTTGCAGGCCGAGGATACCGTCCGTGTGCGCCTTCCAGTTCGCAAGTGCGCGCAAGCTCCTGGTCGAGGTCACGACCACCACGCCGGTGGCATCACCAGAAAGGATCCGTTCGTTGTCGTCGGAGAAGCATACTACGTTGACCTGCGCGCCGTGGCTTCGTACGATATGTTGGGGAGTCGGTGGTGGTGGCGCTGCCGACATCGTGAAACAGCTGAACTGCGCAGTGTATTCAGTCGGTTAGCACCTGCTTCCGTCACCTGTCCGGTGATCAAGTCGTGGACAGGCTGTCTGTCGCCTTGACCCTGAAATATTAATGATGGCCGCGGTGGGAGGTGGTCGAAGAAGAGATCGGGGGGCACGTGTATATGGACCTCCGTGCCCGATCGCGATCTCCGATTTGAAGATCGTACACGAATCCGGGTGGGGTTACGGTACCCACAACAGAGCATTGTACGACCCGAAGGATTAAGTATGGTGAATGGATCCAGCAATTTGTAGGCGTATATACAGTATCACCGTCGGATCATGATGTGAAGCTAAGTATACAGTACTTATCTAGTTGCAAGGGGCCTAGCGTCTGAATCCATAACTTGCATCCTTCCAACCTTCCTCCACTCCGAGGGACCATCCAAGACCCGAAAAACGAGTTCGATGTTGCTGTTGTTCTGTCTCAAGTCGGGAGGTTTAGCATGCAGTAGTGATTTGGCCAGTACTGGATAAACAGCGTCGTTTCGCAGTGACAGTGCTTCATGTCGGACTATGAGCCCAAGAAATGGTCCAAGAACACGCCTCCAGGCCGACATCGTCGCGTTAGGTTGGCCTCGTATGTGAGAACACAGCGGCACACGACACAGATGATCTCAAGGTGCATGGATCCATGAGTGGCTGGAATCTTGAGGCAGTAGACAAGGCAGGGCAGCATATCATATAGGAGAAGTCGGGGCTAGGGAGAGACGGCGGGCCAGTGGTACACACTGGTATTGCGATACAACTTGAAGATGGGGCTGGCTGGATGGCATCAGGACCGCGCTCGATGCTTGGTTCCATCCATGGAGTCCTCGGGCATCGACAAGGCCAACGACACATCACCGGTAACCGTGTACGTATGGGATAAGCTATTGTCTCGAGTGCATGCAGCGGTCCGCGAGCAGCGTCTTCGATACTGCCGAAAGCCGACTGAAACATTCCAACCAACCCGCTCGCTGTGAGTACTCACCTGGCTCCAGTGCTGGGCAGCGTGGCCTTGCGAGTCTAACAAGCTGAGCGCGAGGATCAGGCCAATTTGCGGGAGACATCAAGATGGGTGGGCAGGGAAGATGTCGTGTGGCGCCGGGAGCGCGCACGGGAAGGACGAGTTCTGAGTTGGAGCTGGCCATGGTAACCGACTACGCGGCGGTTTATACGCTGTGGCTCTCGAGTAAGTAGCATGGTAACGCAAGTATAGATCCAGTCCCTCTTATATGCGAGTCCTTATCCGCTGTCCTCCCTCTCCCCTCCGTCTCTCCCCTGGCCTTCGCGTGTATCCCGTCCGCGGCGCATACACCCAGGCCTCCTCCCCCTCCGTCTCGGCTTTGCATCCTCCAGCCAGACTCCGGGGCACGACAACATCCCAGACGCGTCCTCACGCACCTGTCATTCTTTCCGAACCAGTCATTCTTTACAGCCCGACCTAGCCTAATCCCTGGCACCCATCTCTCCGTCGAAATGGCTCCCCACGTCTCATTCGTCGCGCGCGCCGTATCCGCAGAGGAGGACGCGTCCAACCCGACCATCATCGCCGGAATCATCGTGGCGGCCGTCATTGGACTCGGCGCCGCCCTCTGGCTCATCATCCGATGGTTCAGAAAACGCGCGACCACGAAGCGCGAGCAATTGCGCGTGTCCGCCTTCGTCAACTTCACCAACGCCTCCGATGGCAGCATGAACGAGAAGGCCCCGTCTGCTAGGTGCGTCATCTGCTCCCGTCGCGCGGACCGAGCACTTAGACCGGACTTGTGCGCATAGTGCGGGCCCCGGTCTGTCCGGGAAGAACCTCTTCTCGCGCACCCAGCTCGACAGCGGCGTCGTCATGCCAGAGCGCGCCGTCTTGCGCCCCGGCGCGTCGCGCGACGAGATCCTGCAACACTACACCGCCGAGGGCAAGCTTCCCAGGCCCTTCGCCCCCTTCGCGCCCCCCTCTCTCACCAGCCCCGGACTCGCGCCCGACGGTATGGACATGCTTCCTTCCGGCCGACCCACCTCCACCGCGTCCTGGCTCGCCCCCATCTTCCCCCTCGCCGGCAGCCGCAGCTCGCGCCGCTTCTCCAACATGTCCGCAATGTCGGGCACGTCCTCCATCGGTTCGAACGGTGCGTCGCAGAAGAAGATCCGGCAGATATTCGACCCCGTCCTCCCCGACGAGCTTGTCATCTCGCTCGGGGAGACGCTCAGGCTCGTGCAGCAGCACGACGACGGCTGGTGCATCGTCGGCCGCGACAGCGTGTTCAAGCCGGGCGAGGTCGAGATGGGCGCCATCCCCGCGTGGTGCTTCCTCAAGCCCGTGAAGGGCCTCCGTGCTGAACGCCCCATGCGTGTCTCCAGTCTTGGTGTCACCGTGAACCTCGACGCGGCGCCCGGAATCGACCACCGCGACAACGTCATGTCCTGGTCCAACTTCTGATCTGCGAGCTCTGTACCATTCCGCTGTTCCCTGCCACACGTCCTCCTCACCTGTAGCCAACTCTCCCCGCCACCACCCTTGTCCTTGTCCCGG